GGCGAGCGCTCCGGCGGCTGCGGAGAGCGGGGCCGAGGCGAAGAAGCCGCAGTGGGAGAGCGGTGCCGGGCTCCCGGAGGGTGGGAGACACGTCTCCGTGGGGCTTTTGACAGCAGATGAGGTTTTTAACACTAAAAGTCATTACTGGAAGCCAGAAAGCTTGATTGCAGCTCAGCGGTAGGAGTTCCACAACAGACCTGTAACCTCCTTTATTACAGAGCAGTAACACTTTAATTCTGCCTTCCCCTGGATACGTAAAAGGTAGCAGAGTGATTTCAGAGGAAGGACAAGTGACAACAACAAAAAGCTTATTAGGAAGCAACAGGACATTAGTACAAGACATGGGAAGAGTAAAGACCCACAATCCAAGGGGTGTCACCGGGGAGTGTAAGGGCAGAGATAGAGGAAAGCAGTCAGAAAGGCGCATTTCCAAGACAGTTCTTCAGATTAGTCTTTCCAGGAAGAACACGTCATCTAGGAATGCGAGAGTTCAAGGAAGGTGGTGAGAAACAGTGCTGAATGCTCTGAGCAGACACCAGGGGAGGTGAGAAAGAAGCGTTTATCAACCTGCCATGGCAAACCTAAGAGCGGCGAGGACTACAGAGCTTAGCTGAGGGCTAGAACCCTGCGTGCAAGAGACATCATCCCAGACCATAGGACACAGCTGGCTGCTCCCCGGGATGAACTTCACCCCATGCTGTACTAAATACGACATTCCAAATAGTGATTTGAGTACAGTAGTGCTGATACGCCCGGGAGTTACTGATTTCAAGGCAGATCAGTGGCTCTGCAGAGGCTGGAAAGGGTTAGTAGCCAACAACCTTACCTGAGCATCTCCACAAAACTCTCTAGGATGTTCATGGAGGGCAGCCCAGGTCATGCAGCCTCACCTGGCCAGCGATCTTGCTACAGAACTCGGGACCGAGTAGTTTTAGCACGCTGGTTTACCCCAACTGATCCGTACCCCAGAAGAGCATGGGCATTTCCCCCTTATGCTGGCAACTCACCGTATTTTAGTTCACAGATCTGACTGTCTTTCTTCTTTAGTTTCTCACATATCTTTTCCACGGGGATGTGATGACTCATGGGCTTTGATACCTCGTTAATGATTTTGGTGGCTGCATCGCTTGTGGCCCCAATGTAATAGCACTAGAGGGGAGAAAAGAATGAGATGGGGATGCATGGAAAAACGCATCTAAAGGAAGAATTTTCTATCCATCTCCTCTCCTTGCCTGGTTTTGCAGCTAGGTGCCTACTTTTGCGGAACCTTTCCAAGTGACCGCTACGCACAAGCCTAACCCTGAGCCCACGGGACAGGGCAGATGTTCCCCATCACACTGCTTCTAAAGCTGTTGAAGCGGGTTGGTTTGTTTCTCAACTTAAAAAATCAAATTGGACCAAGAACAGTGTCGTCTTCATTCAAGGAGACTTTCTGAAGCGTCCCCCCTCTGCATTTCTGATGGTGTCTCTGCAGTTCTCTTCTTAGGACAGTTCAGGGCCTTTTCCCTGGGGCTCTTCCTTTGGGGACAGCCTTCTGGTTCTACTTAGGGCAATTGCTTTTCCTTTATTTAGTTTTCACCTAAACAGCTGAAAAGCGTAAGTGTTTTAACAGCTGGTATAGCACCCCAAATACCATTTAAAGGACAAGGAAGTCCTAAGCAAATAAAAATTTTGTAGTCCCCAGCACTACAGTAACAGGGAGAAACGAGGCCAGCCAGTAAGATACCTGGTGACAGACTGGCTTTTTCTTTTTTAGGTGAAGAGGCTGAACTCCTCTGGTCCTCTCATAAAAAAATACAGGACCAACTGTGGCCACAGAGCCAGGAAGAACAGCTGCAGGGAAGCTGCATCATACAAACTCCCCTCGTTTGCCAAGTATTCTACAACTTACTCCCTCAAGAGGCATCACTGACTACTACGACTTACCAGGCGGTTCTCTTTGCCTTTTGCTTCTTTGCAGGATTTCAAGAGCTCCTTTTCAATACTGGCAGGTGTGAACTCCACGTCGTTGTCCTTTAGACTCTGGTAGAACCTTCCCAGGAAGGTAACACACACTGGAAGGGAAGATGGATGGAGTTAATCTGCCACTGCAGTGATCTCGTGGCAGTTCTTAGGGGAAACAGAGTAAGGGATCTGCGGAACAGAACTTCTAGAAGCTGCATTAGCAGTCAGTGACTTCACACACATTTCGGGAAGTCTTTCGGCGCACGCGCGAATCAGCAGCGTGCCGCGGTATTTTTGGTGGGTTTTTGACAATCTGAGAGACCAGATCCATGGAATTGTCCAGTGGCTTCCCGACCCTGTCCCGAGCGAGCAGCAGGGTTCAGCTGAGGGATACCAAGGCAAAATGGTGCCCGTGCAAAAATGTAAACTGAATTGTCTGTCTGCTTCTTGCTGCTTTGGGAAGCAGCTCGTCAGACCACAGGCTTCAAACCCTTCAAGCTCTACATAATCCCGTTACAGACTCCATGTGTGCGGGTTTCAGTGATACGGTATCCCCGATTATCGAGTTGGTCCAGTTCATAGGTGAGTAATTTCCAAGAGAAAAAGAAACTGCGTGATCACACGCTGCATCCCCTTGGCGTGTGTCTCGTCTCTTCATTCCCGCAAGCTTCTGAATGGGTCTCAGACTGAACGAGGGAAGAGTCTTAAGGAAACTCCCACAAGTGCACCAGCAGTTGAGAGGACAGGCCCATGTTCCTGCCTGCGGGAAGGGCACGGACAACTCGGTCATTACGCCGTCCCTTTGGTAGCAGTCACCCCGCGTTCGCTCCAGGCTCCGCGCAGCACACCTGCTCGTGGCTGGGCAGGAGGGCAGGCAGCTAGGGTGACCGCAGCGTGCGGGATCTGTGCGAAGGGCGACCGGGAGACGCTGCGAGGGTCAGGTTTCGCTCACTCTGCTGCTCGCACAACTCGCCTGTGAACATCAGCATCGCCTGGACCAAGAGCTCTGCGCCCCCCCCAATCCCTGCGGCAGGACCTGTGGATTCTCAGGATTCCAGGTGAGAGACAAGTGCCAGGCAGCGGCCTGCCTCTGCAGGAAAGGTCGAGTTACCTCTTCTATGCCGCTCCTTTACCCAACAGGAAGGGATCGGCAGATATTATTGTCATTAGCAACTCGTATTCTGCTCTGATCACAAGCCACGGCATGGGAAATCCAGCGTGACCAGCGCCAAGGCAGGTAGAAACTCTCATGATATTAAAACTACTGGTAATTATGAGCTGGGCCGTTTAGGAAAACGCTCTGCGTACGCGCACACCACCAGCATTTACCTCACGCCCGTCTGTCCCCAGTCACACAGGCACACTGCTGTCGGCTGTGCACTGTTTGGAAGGGAGACCCTTTGGAAAGAATAAAGATGCTGCCGGCAGCGGTACCCGTGAAAGTACGGCAGAAAGGAGTTTCCAACCCAGCGCAGGGGCAGCAGCGCGAGTTTGCGCTCCCCCTCCGTACGTGGAGGAGTAAGGGGTGAGCATCAGTACCACGAACTCCCCACCAGTTGCCACGGCCCCAGCGCAAGTTTTTCTGGTTTCGCCTGGGGAATCTGTCCTGCCCCACCGTGCCAGGGCAGGTCAGTCGGCTGTGCGGCTCAGCGGCTGCCACCCCAGAGCCTTGTGCAGGTGCACAGCGCCCGGTTCGGGCCGCTCAGCCCAACGTGTGGTTTCCGCGCCAGGGGACACCCGGTGCGCTGCCCGGGGCGGGGGCGATCCGGGCGCCCA